AGGCACAAAGGGCATAACTTGAGTGACTAAGAAAAGCCCCACAGTCTCGTTACAGTTCAAGAGCAGCCACAGGCTAGCCAAAGAGAAGGCCCTCAAATCTGTGCATTGCCTTTCCAGCACTTTTAACTGGATTTGCTATTCTAAAACAAAACAAAACAAGATGAAACAACAAACTCTTGCCAAGTCTCAAGTCATTTTAAGTAGTTCACATACCAATAGACGAAGAGAATGAAAAAGGAACATAGAGGCAGTCTGTATCTCAGCAAGCTAGCGAAGGCTGCACTAGAATCACCTCTACAATTCACTGTTGCTTTACTGTAGGTCAGTGTCCTGGATGGAAATTCTAAAACTCTCCAACTGCAAGGAGTTTAATGAAGGAGTGGAAAAGGAAGGAAATAGAGCTCAAGTCATCCCTAAGGAAGAAGGAAGCACACCAGGACCAAGAACAGCACGAAGCAGGGACCACCCCTAGGCCTGAAGGGAGAGAGCTGTCACCAGACCTATGGGAGCTGAGGCCACAGGAAGAAAAAGTCAACCTTCTCCCAAAGCTTCCCAGCCCAAGAGGAAGGGTGTGAGAAGAATGCATACAGCACCTCTGATCTCCCACAGGGGCCTGCCACTGGCTGACCCCAAGGGCAAGATGGCAAAAGAGAGTACCGATAGAGTCCTAGGGCCAGCCTCTGAGGAACAGAGCTGGAAGAGAGGCATGTGAGTGACTCTCAGGGCTAGAAAGTGGTATACAAATAATACAATGCTCTGCCATGCTGGACTCATATGAGAAAGTCGTAGGTTCCCATCCCAAAGCCTCCCTGCACATGCTAGGCACACAGGTGTCCACTGTCCTGCCTGGCTGAAGCTGGGGGCAGATCACCGTTTGAAGATCCTCTTGAGGGTGACTTTGTGTGTATCTCATCAGCACCTCTGATCTCCCACAGGGGCCTGCCACTGGCTGACCCCAAGGGCAAGATGGCAAAAGAGAGTACCGATAGAGTCCTAGGGCCAGCCTCTGAGGAACAGAGCTGGAAGAGAGGCATGTGAGTGACTCTCAGGGCTAGAAAGTGGTATACAAATAATACAATGCTCTGCCATGCTGGACTCATATGAGAAAGTCGTAGGTTCCCATCCCAAAGCCTCCCTGCACATGCTAGGCACACAGGTGTCCACTGTCCTGCCTGGCTGAAGCTGGGGGCAGATCACCGTTTGAAGATCCTCTTGAGGGTGACTTTGTGTGTATCTCATGGGAAAAAAAAATATATATATATATATTTTTTAATGGATCTAAAGGGCATATGGAAAAAATTCAGAACAAGCCCCAAACGCTGAGAATTCACGCTCTCCACTTTTGTCCAGATTAAGTCCACACTCTGAAGCCAGGGGTCTCCTGATTATTTCCAGGGTGGGTTTGGCTCTCAACAACTGTGAGATTTAAGCAGCTTGTTTAACACAGCAGAAGTTCAGTTTTTCAGTTGTTAATATAAATAACACCACATGCCACACGTTCACATCCTTCCCGCTATCCAGAGCACAGAATGCTCCAGTTGTGCTACCAGAAACGAGGTGAGATTTGCTTACATGTATGCTAAGAGGATGGATAGCCTGAATATATCATTGATGGTTACACTTAGTTTAATAAACTGTGTAATATGGTTAAATCCTCCAGGGCCACACCTACATCCTCTCTTTGATGTAAATATAAAGTATAAAGCAAATGCAGCCTTAAGAAGGAGATACTCAACCTATGGAACTTATTGCCCCAGGAAGCTATAAAACTTGAAGAGAGAAGAATTTTACTGAAATGGAAGTAACAACCTGCTCTATCCCAAGAAGTAACAGAGAATGCAAAACAAATCTGAGAATGATGGGATGACAGTGCATTAGCTTTCTCTGTTGTGTAACAAATTACCACAAACTTAGGGACTTAAGATAATACTCTTATCATCTCATAGTTTGCATGGGTTAGGAATTCAGACATGGCTTAGCTAGGTCCCCTGTTCAGAGGCTCATAAGACTCTACTCCAGGTGTCAGTGGGGTATGAGGTCTCATCTGAACATCAGGTCCTCCTCTCTCAAGTTCATGCGGTTGTTTGCGGAATTAATTTTTCTGCAGATGTTCAACTCATGGCAGTTGCTTCTTCAAGGCTAGCAGGACAAAGAAGGCTTCTGTCTCTAACTTCTGGACTGTCTTTGAAAGAGCTCACCTGTGTAGGCCAGGCCTCCTCAGGAAAATCTTTTTGGTTATAATATTAGGACTCTTAATTACATCTGCAAAATCTCTTTACCATAAGATAAAACATAACTATGGGAGTGAAATCCCAACACCTTCGCCATACTCTACTAATTAGGAGCAAATTACCAGTACCACCCATACTCAGAGGGAGAGGACAATACAAGAAATACGTATTTTTTTCTATGTAAAAATGAATCATAGCTTTTCCGACAACCCAATAGATGATAAAGTGGATACTCTTAGTAAGGCAGGAGGGATAGGGATCATTACTCCCATCTTTCAGAGACTTAGAGACTATAAAGTATCTGTCCCAAATCATTCAGCTCACCACCTGATGGAGCTGAAGCAAACACACAGATTTTCTGCGTCTAAAACTTGTGTTTTCTTCACTCCCTTGTCGACGTGTCATATTGGGTTGTCGTAAAAGTCGTGATGTATTTTTTTCTGTTTTTCTATGCAAAATGTTTCATGAGTTTTCCAACAACCCAATAGAAGGGAATGGCTCCATTATAACACTGACCGGGATATACAGTGGATCTTCAAGGCAACTAAATCACTCATTCCCAGTAAATCATACTAAGTTTGCATTGCAAGACTATGACCACTGTTCTTATCAAAGCCAAGATCAAAATGCAAGGCTCCAGATTCCTGATTCAGGGAACCAGCAGTTAGCATAATGGCTATGTCGCTGGACTCCCACGTAGTCGACCGCGGTTCGCGTCTCGGACCCGGTGGCTTAAATCTCATGCCGGGCGCGTGTGCGTGCGTGCCCAAGATCCCGAGAGGAGAATGGAGGAGAAGGGATTGCGGCATGACCATCCCCCCTGGGGGGTGATTTCTCGCTTTCTGTCTCTATGTCTCTGTCTGTCTGGCGAGCGCATGCGCCCTATAGCAAAAACCTCTCCAAAAAAAAAAAAAAAACAGATTCCTGATTCATTGCTATTTTATAATAGGTCAATCCCCCTTGTGTTTTTCACTGCCCCTGTCAAAGACTAATCATGCTTTGTTTTTACACAGATGTTTTGGCCTTACAGACAAAGCCTTTCTGGATCTAGGAGGTCATCCAAAAATCTGTAGAAAATTACAGAGTAATTCTAAAATTCAAGTTATTATAAAAATGACAGAAAAGAAACCAAAAAATTTAAATTGTGAATAATTCACATGTATATGGTTTACATGATGGTCCAAGTTGATACAAATTAAAAAGTGCTATGTGGTTCTTGTATATTTTTATCAGTTCATTAAAATATACTATGTGATCCATGGGTTATTTATATCTACTGATACCTTTATAACACCTTAAGTGTTAGGTGTTTTTAATGAATACAATATGCAAAAACATCATAACCAAATAGAAGCCATCACTTATGTTTGCGTACTGAAACATCCGGAGTCATGCTTGCCACATTGTGATAATAAAAACAATTGTGAACCACCATTATTAGGAATTTATGAAAATATATGGCATAAAACTAAAAGAGTCTTGCTCTGACTCTTTCTAGCTTTGTGACTTTGAGCAAATCACTTGTCCCTCCAAGCAAGGTGTTAGAAATACATTGTAGAGGGGCCAGCAGTTAGTGTAATGACTATGTCGCTGGACTCCCACGTAGTCAACCGCGGTTCATGGCCCAAACCCAGTGGCTTAAAACTCATTCCGGGTGCGTGTGTGTGCGTGCCCAAGATCCCGAGAGGAGAATGGAGGAGAAGGGATTGTGGTATGGCCATCCCCCCGGGGGGTGATTTCTCGCTTTCTGTCTCTCTGTCTCTGTCTGTCTGGCGAGCGCACGTGCCCAGAAGCAAAAAAAAAACCTCTACCAAAAAAAAAAGAAATACATTGTAGACCTTAGTTGATCAATCAGTTACTGGTTCCCAGCCCCTCATGATGGTGAGGAACTGATTGTTTGTTACCAGCTAAATTTCTCTTAGTTCGTCCGGTGTCCTTGCTATGAGTTACATAGTAAACCAGATACTGTCATTGCCCTACTTAAAACTCTCCATAACTTTTCCTTCTGGTATGACAGCCACTAGGTGACTACCAAGCATCTACAATGAGGCTAATCAAAAAGAAGATGCACTGTAAGTATAAAACATACACCAGATTTCAAAGATGTAGAAACAAAAAAATAATATAAAACATCTCCATAATTTTTAATATCATTCACAGGTAAAAAAGACAACATTTTGATTGTAATGAGCCAAATAAATTATAAATATTTCACCTATTTCTTTTTGCTTTTAATTTTTTTAATTTACATGTTTTTAAATTAACAGAGGTAGCGTGCACTTGCCAGAGAGACACACAGAGAGAGTGGGAGAAAACAATCTCCACTGGGGTGTGGTCACACTGTAATCCTTTTTCCTCCATCTTTTCAGGATTTGAGACAGACATGCGCACATGCCCAGCATGTTTTTTAAACCACTAGAACCAAGATTTGAACCATATTTGACCATGTGGGATCTGGCTCCCTACGCACAGTGCTTAACTATTATACTACTAGGCCAGCCCTGCTTTTTATTTTTTTCTCAATGTGGTTGTTAGAAATTTTAAAATCATACATAGCTCACGTTATGTTCCACTTGGAAACCACAATGTATATCATCCCACTACTCTCAGAAAAGAATTTAAATTCTTTAGTGTGGATTACAGAGCCCAGTATGATCTAGCCCCTTCCTCCCCCCACCCCAGGTCCCTTCATGCTATTCCCCCTGTCCCTTGTTACCCTCTAGCCACATTGACCTCATGATCCCTCAGACACACCAAGCCTGTGCTCACCTCGGGGGCTTTACTTTCATGACTCTGTCCTTCTGGAATGTTCTTTCCACAGTGACTCTTCTCATAGCTGACTCAGTCTCCTGTTTCAGGTTTCAGCTCACAGGCCACCTCCTCACTCAGGCCTTCCTGGACCACCTGAGGTAGAGATCACATCCAGTGAATCTCTTCTCTACTCATCTCCTCCTAGGCACTCACTGCCATCATTAATTACTTTATCTAACTAACTAGTCACCGATTTAATGCCTGTTCTCGCAACTAGAATAGAAGCTGTGTGAGGGCAAAGACTTTTCTTGACTCACACTCACTTTCATATTCAGCCCAGGGCTAACCCAAAGAATTGGGATGTCCAAAAAGTCATGATGCAGTTTTGCATAGAAAAACAGAAAAATACATCATGACTTTTCCAATGACCCAATAGTTCCCAATCCAGTGGCTGGTTGGTTAATTAATTATGAATGATAAAAAGAGCACAAGACTCAGAATCAGAAATCGCAGCTAGCAGGCCAGACAATGGCACAGTGGTAATGCAACTGCATTCACATGAGAAAGGTCCTGGGTTCATGTTCTGGGACATTCCAGAGCTTGCACATGCCTGTCCTGTGATATAGGCTGACTGAGCTGGGGGATAGATTGCTGTATTAAAACCATGTTGGGATTCATTCTCTCTCTCTCTCTCACTTTCTCTCTTTCAGAAACAAATAAGTTTTTAAAAATCCCAGCTAGGACAAACCTAGTGATAACAATAAAAACCGCACCATCTCACTCCAAGTCTTCTCTTTTCCTAATCAATCCTTAACAATTATAGAAGGCAGTGTAGAACAGTTTAAAGGACACAGTGTGGAGTTAGAAACCCTAAACTTGAGTTTCTACTCTGCCACACACTAACTGTACACCCTGTACAAAGTTCTTCACTGTTCAGAATTTCCATCTTCTCCAGGAGTGGTTATTTTGAAATTCAAGTCAGATAAAACCTTTGTCAATCAGAGAGCTCCAGGCAGTATTAATGATTAGGCTAACAGAATCTTCAAGGGACAGGATTCCCCTGGCATCTAGCATAGGCTTGGCTTAAGATAGGTGCCCCAAATCTGCATGATAGATGCATAAAGACCCCTAACCAGCCTTAGCACCACAAAGCAATGAACTTCAGGGAAATCAGATCTCTCTACTGTTTCAACCTGGGAAAGATAGTCCATTTTCTTCCAAAAGGAAGAGACCTCAAAGGTCCTTCAAAGGGATCTCAAAGGTAGAGTGAGGCTTAGATGCAATGACCTAATTTCCCCCCATTTTCCTGAACAGTTCCAAGTTGTAACAATCTGTCCAAGTTTCCAGTCAAATCTCTGACTACAGGTCAGAACATATGGGTTGAGAGGAGGGTTTAAACGGACAGGAATAACATCTTCCACTGGGGCAGGAACAAGGATCACCCATCTGCCTATAGCAGGTCCTTTCGCAGAAAGGTAGGAATGGACTACACCAAGCAGCAGCTCCTGCTTCTCACATTCTAAAATCAGCTGCAAAATCTGCCTCCTTCTTGTACCTGGAACCACAGATAAAATTAAGTAGAGGAGAGGGAATCTAGTGGTTGGAGCTAAACAGTGTTATAAGTTAATAAAACTAGCAGTATTCTGTGGAACAATGATTTCTCAAGATCAGACAAGGAGAGTAGCTGAGAAGGGAATGGGAAATGATTTCATTCAAAAGACTTTTGCTTAGTTCAAAAGGGATAAAGCTCTCTTTTGTTTTACTCCTGGCTTCTGTTCCCCAAGCTCTGAAACATAAAGGCTTTGGCATGACATCCTAGTTTAGCACTATTGTTCCTTCTGAAAGGACTATTAACAGAGCAACCTTCTCCCTTCTGTTGGACACTGTTTATTTACATACTACCTTAACATGCAGCTCACCTTGGAAAGTTTGGCAAACCAGACCTGGTGAACCAGGTTTACCATTGCGCCATCTCTTCCTAGTCTCACCCTGCCTGCTCACTGCTGATTAAAAGCCAGAACCCAACCTCCGTTTATTCAACAAATGCATACTGAGCCGCTCCTCATTCTAGGTGTTGGAGTTATATCTGGGAGCAAGGAAGACAAATATCATTTATAGCAGAAATCTATAAAAGAAGAAATAGACCATCCCTCATCTTGGAAAAGGTGAATCACAGATGGAAAGCCTTTTTCAGGAATGTGAAGAAGGAATCACAATTTGGGATCCCTGGTCAAGATATGGAATTACTGGATAAGATGATGTGTTCAGAACTAAACTGGAGAAGACTTTTAGGAAGAAAAAAACCTTCATGGGACCAGTAGCGTAATGGCTATGTTGCTGGACTCCCATGTAGTCAACCGCAGTTCGAGTCTAGACCCGGTGGCGTAAACTCACGCCAGGCGTTTATGCGTGCATGCCTAAGATCCCAAGAGGAGAATGGAGGAGAAGGGATTGCGGTGAGGCCATCCCCTCTGGAGGGTGATTTCTTGCTTTCTGTCTCACTATCTCTCTCTGTCTGGTGAACACACGCGCCCTATAGCCAAAACCTCTCCAAAGGAAAAAAGAAAAAAAGGAAGAAAAAGCCTTCAGTAAGAAGGTCTTAATGTGACCTGTAGCCCCTGAACCCTCAACAAATTAGACCCAAATGATAAACTTTGAGAACACTCTTTAGTCTCCTTGAGACCACTCTTTAGTCTCTCTGCAACTGTTTTACTTTAGCCCATGGGAGCCCTGGTTTCTGGTAGGGACCACTGCCAAAGCAGATTATAGGTGGGTCACCACTTGACAAAGCAGTATTCTGTCTAGTATTAAAAGGACTCCACAGTTTGAGTCCCAGACCCAGTGGCTTGAAAATCATGCTGGGTGCCTGTGCATGCTTGCCCAAAATCCTGGGAGGAGAATGGAGGAGAAGGGACTGTAGTATGGTCATCACCCCCCACCCCAGAGGAGGGGGTCATTTCTCACTTTCACTCTGTCTCTGTGTCTCCTGGAGCTCACATGACCTATAGCAAAAACCTAAATTAAAGAAAGAAGGGGGGAAAAGGGGTGGCAGGGCTTGTGTTTATTCTCTGGCAGAGCAAAGGGTAAAACTCCTCTGGGAATTCAAGTCTGTGGCAATGGCTCAGTAGAGATGTGGGTTTATAGACAAACAACGTGGCCTAGTGGAGGGAAACTGGCCAATTTTGTCTTGTGAAAGTAGTTACCTCAGATGGTGCAAGGACGCTGTATTTCAAGGATGTGTGAAATCAGATGGAATCTTCCTTGTCCAAGCCTGCATGACCCAATTTATCTACAAAATACAAATTTCCTAGTTTACAGCTTGTCATCTGTGTTCCTCCTCTCAGGTGAGTCTCCGCCCTCACTCTTGCTGAAGAGTTCAATTTTGGCCCAATTACTCTGATGATTTCCTCAGCTATCAAACCGGAGTCCAAACGTAACACCTAAGGTAATTACTAAGGCTACAATGAGAAAAACGTGTCCAGAGGGGCATTTATAAAATCAGGGTGGTCTCTTCCTTACAGCTAGAGACAATAAAAAAAGTTAGGAGAAAGTGGCTAAATACTCCCCAATTGTTATGTTTAACAAACAAAACAAACAAACAAAAAACAATAACTCTCCGGAATGTCTCTTGCCCAGGTTGGGGGAAAATGAGCCTGCGGGTCAACGCAAACACCTGCCTGCCCCTTCTCCCCGCTCCCCCTGCGACAAAGCTGACAGGGTGGGAAGGGGAACACAGCTCAGCGCTTATTTTTGGACCCAGCTGACTAAAAATACCTCAGCGTCCTGTTTGATCACTCTCCTTTTTGACCTGAATGGATCGCTGGGGCCTCGCCGCCCGCCCCACCCTCTGCCTGTTGTCCTTTAAAGGAGAAGGGCGTGGGGACGGATTCCTGCCGCTCAAGGGACAGATGTGAGGCGCCTGAGGCAGGCAGGGGCCGCGGCAGTGTTGACGTCAGAGCTGCGCCCCGCTCCGCAGCTCGGGGTAGAGGCCGCCCCACGGAAGGGGCGAGACCCTGGCTTGGATATTGGCTGGGCCAGCGCGAGCGCCCGTGCGGATTGGCTGGCGAGGTTTTAGAGGGAGTCCCGCTCTCCAATTAAAGCGGCCGGGCTGCGCCCCAGGCGCGCAGAGCAGCTCCCGGGCGGGTGAACCTGGCCATTCAGCCGCCGCTATCCCCGCTGCGTGCCGTCGCGCGTCTGTCTGAGAAGCCAGGCGCTGTTGCTCCAGCCCAGAAGAAGATGGCAAAGGTGGCCAAGGACCTCAACCCCAGGGTTCAAAAGGTGAGCGGATTCTGTGTATACCCAGATCCTTTCTTTCCCGTTTTCCCTTCCCATGTATTTGTGGAGACTTCTCTAGAGGTAATGAGAAAGAATCTTACTAAATTCCAGGACTTCACAGAAACAGAATAGTTGGGACTCCAAGCTTGAGCTAACAGCCACGCACCTCAAAATCCACTCTTGAAGCCATTGTTGAAGATGGTATTTGCAAAGGTCTTAGTGTTGTTTTTTTTTTTTTTTGTAATGCTAATAAAAGTTTAATTAAAGTAAAACTTGTTTATTTTTATTTTTGTAATTTTATGGTGGATAGGAGAAAAAGCCCTAGCTCCCCATCTTTTTGCCTCTCCCATAGTTGGGAGGATTGGGTAAGGGGATGTGATATTTATTCACAAGAAGTGTCCCCTTTTGCTATCATCCTGGTGTTTTGTGTTCTCCCAACACCTGTGTGTGCGTGCACACACATAACACCAGTTTCTTCAGTTGGAGACATTGACAGTGGCAGTAGTTACAGCCCAAGGAAACTGACTTCTATCCCCAGGGTCTTCACATTTCCCTTTCAAGAAGGACTGGCCCGGAGCCCAGAAGGTCACGGGTAAACTACCACACAAGAGGCCATCAGCTGCTCCTGTAGCTCCAACATCCACTCCTGTCTACCTGAACGCAGCTGGGAAGGGCGTAGGCTAGAGACACAGGGAACATGTGAACCAGAAGGGAACAGACAGACAATCTAGACTTTACGGATGGGGAAACTGAGGCTCAGAGTCACAGATGGTTGGTTCCAGCAAGCAGCAGAGTAAAAGGAAAGCCTTAGGCATCCAAATCTGAACGCTGCCACTTTTGACTTGCATAGTATAAGCAAGTCACTTATCTGATCCTCAGTTTTCTTATTTCTAGTGTGGGTACAAAATGCCCTACCTCCCTCACAATAGCAGCAGTGATAGTGACACTGGGGGTTTACTTCGCAAAAGCAGTAATTTTTAAATTCTGATTTCAGGAGACTGAATCTTAAGCAAAGACCTCCTTAGACGTTTGCCATAATCTCTAGGAGTAGATTGAGAGAGAGAGAAAAAAAAAAAGACTGAAGAATCAAAATGAAAATGCAAGCCAATCACTTATAGGCAGAATTTTCACGATCTAATTTATAGTGTGCCTGTCTATAGACGACCTGCCCCAGACCACCACACAGAGGTCGTGATCTGTCTGAATGTGTACACGAGTCAGACTTAATCTGGGCATCTCTCTGGAATGCAACAGGTTCCACTGCATCTGCCAGACTGTTGGCTAAATCAAGTCATCTCTCCTGTGAAATTCCCATAGCACTTAGAACTTTGGAAGACACCTATTCTTGTCTACCCAGTTGTGAGTTATGTATGCACACCTCTTATTCCTCAACTCATCTTTTTGAACTTCTCACAGATAAACCTTTCTTGCTCATCTCAGTGCTAATGTGACTAGACTAGTCCACACACAACAGAACTCAAAAAAAAAAAAATTGCATTATCCACTGGGAATCTCTGTCGAGCTAAGACCATGATGTTTGAATGTGGTATATCTCAGGCATTATTATTTTTTTAACTTACAGCACTGTGGTATTTGTGTGTGTGTATATGTGTGTGTGTGTAGTGTGTGTGAACCGCCCTCCCCACATTCTATCAAAGTAGAAGAGCTCATGGCTAATGTTGTCCTATGGGAAGTGAAGTGATTTCTGGGTATTTTGGACATAAGCTGGTTGATGGTTAATGTGTGTAGTGAGATGAAAACTACAGGAAACTATGGAAACTCCTTCTCACCACAGCCCTGTGCTGCCGATTGAAGGAAGCCTTGTTTTTATTTTCCCCTGCATAGGAGAGTGTGATTATACAGATTAGAGGTAGAACATGTTCTCCTTCTTGTCACCCTCTGGTGCCAACTTCCTTGGCCTGCAAAGAGTTTATTTTCCATTTAGATCCAATTACAGGCTTAGAGAAAGAATGTGGTGGGTAGAGATGAAAGGGCAGATATATTTTACTTCTTGGGACTATGACAATCAAGATGAAGATCATCACTTTGTAGATTAACCAATGTCTTTAACTCAAAAAATCGAGAGAAGGAAAGGGAGTCTGGGAGAAACTTGCCAAATGTTACAGCAGCGATTAAGTACTGTGTCATATCAGCAGCATGCTGAAATGATTTTATTGCATATTTACTTTTTAAATCTGCAACAGTGGGGGGGGGTTATAACACTTGGCTTTAAGATGCATAATCACACTTAGACATTTTGAAACAATTTCATAGACTCTTAGAGCTGCAAGGGATCTGTTTACAAATGACAAATGATATAAAATGGCATACTCACTATCTCCACTGCCCTGCCCTCAAGGCGGCAGATCCTCAGCAGCTAAAAAGTAATAAAAAGAGGGCCAGTCCTGTAGCTTAGTAGTTAAAAAAACTGGATCCTATCTGGCTGAAGACAGTTCAAGGCCCAGCTCCTGTGCCTTGAAAAATGTGTTGGATGCACACACCCAATAAAGGATGAAGAAGGTAGGAGAAGAGATTATGGTGTGATCACCTTTCATTGAGGAGTAATCTTTCCCCTATGTACTGTGTCTTTATCCTTCTGGCAAGCACACATGCATACTGACAATTAAAAAAAAAAGTCATAAAAAAGTCTTCAAGAGAGGGGACTGGACAATAGTGCAGCAGTAATTCAAATACTCTATGAGTCTGACCCACATGGGACAGCAGTTCTAGATTCTCGTCCAGAGATCTCACTGAACATTCTGAAGATGCTGATAATGCATATACCAGTGTTCTGGGGTTGGTTGAGTCTGTGGTTGGATTAAGGCATGAAGACCCTATTGTGGTGCCTGTCCCTCTGTGTCTCTCTGTTGCTCATGGAAGAAAGAATTTTATTTATTTATTTTACAAAAAAGGTCTTCAGGAGAGAACCTAAAATCCAAAAATTGGAATAGCTTTGGATATCATATAACCAATTCTAGATGGGTGGAGGGATTCAGCATGGGCCACACATGTGTATAGTGGCAGAGCTTAGAAACAGTTTCCCAACTTTTCTCATCTGTGTAAAGTCAAGTGAGCCTAATGGCTACTTTTGAGCTATAATTTTGTTGTTGTTGTTGTTGTTGTTTTTGGTTTTTGTTTTTCTGGGAAAGAGAAGGTTTCTTAGCACAGAAAGTTCCCTGAGGATGGCAAAATTGTCAACATTCCTTCATAACAAAGGGCCTTGAAGGCCAAATGCCATTGCTTCTGGTAGAATCAGGCACTACGATGGATTTGTTCTCTTACCGTTTATTAAGAATACTAGTATGGGCTTTGGCCTCAGCTCTGGGTTCAAATCTCAGCTCTACAACTTACTAGTGTGCTCTTAGGTAAGCTAATTAACTTTTTAGTCTGTGTTCTCTCTTCATCTTACAATTAAGGTGACAGAGGTAGCACCTACCTCCCAAGATGGCATATAATTAAATGAAATGTTGTATATAAAGGACTCATCACATGAGCATTCAGAGTTAGCCTTTGTTATTCTTGGTGATGGTGGTATGTTTTAGTGGGTATACGGATACTGAAAAAGATCTTTTGGCAAATGAAGGATCCATTCTTTATTTATGACTGTCCAATTTATTGAGCAACCAACTTTCATTCAGCAGAACTTAATCCATTGCTCAGTCTTGATAAACTACAATAGAATAATGACCTTACTTGATTCTCACCCAACAGATCCCAAATCTGCTTACGTAGACTCTCTTCTGAACACGGATAGCCAGTGAGCAGTTTACTCTGGAATTACAGAATTTTATGCCTAGAAAGAGACTTGGAGTTCTTTCCACTTTTTAGATAAGGAAACCAAGGCCCAGAGGGGTCAAACTCTTTATCAGAGTTTTCTGAGACAGTGCACTGAAGCCTATTAGAGTCTGCAAGAGAATATAGACACCATGACTGTGAAGGCGCCATAGGTTTGTCAAGGACAAGGACAGAGATATAAGGGCATGTTAGCTGTTGTCTGTGCATGTGTCAGTGGACTGGCTCCAGAGGGTTTCAGTTTTCACCCAACATAATGCCCCAAGAGCACGAAATAATGGTACATCTAAGTGCATTGCCAGGTTCAACTGGATGCCTCTCTTTGCACTCTCCACATCACATCCCTTTTGGCTTTCCCATCCTCCAGATTAGTCCTTCCCTCTGTACTCAGCCCTTCCTGCTTCCACCTCCCGTTCTTGCAGTGAGCAAAACTGCTGGCACACTGCCCAGGTGAGCTGATCCAACATAAACATAGCCCTTTAAGAATTGTTGTTGGCTTCCTCAGTCTTAAAAACATATTAAGATGTCACTTAAGGACTTTAATAGCCAAGACATTGGAGACATGCCCACAGGTATACACTTGATCCAAAAGAGAGCCTTATTTAAAAAACAACAAAATAAATAAATAATTAAAAACTACGAAAGAAAGAATCCAAATCTCTCTTAAAAGCTCTCCAAACACAGATGTGAACTGATTGTTCTGTAAATTGCAGGTTCTGGTTGTAGGTGCAGGTATGTCTGAATATGGGGAGGTTAGGGACTGTCAGTTGACCAGTGAACTTTCACATCCACCACCTGTGGCAGTAGGAGGCAAGGAAAGGCTTAGTCACAGATCATCTCTAGGCTTTAATGGAAGCCATCTCAGTTCCAAGGCTAGGGGTGCAGGCCTTACCAACACTCCTACAATGATGAAGGTGGAAAAAAAGACTTTGATATTCCCCTTTGAGGATTTGTAATTTGATCTTCTCTCCACATAACTTACCAAAGTTGAGAAAGAAAAATAATGACAAGAATAGGCTGAATTTAGCAAGGAGGAAGGACCACTGCATGGACTAACTCTCTTGTATGTCTTTCTTTCCCACCCTTCTTTCAGCTCCTTCAGGTTAAGAAAAGATCAGGAGGAGTGGGACCAGCAGTTAGCGTAATAGCTTTGTCACTGGACTCCCATGTAGTCGACTGCGGTTCGAGTCCTGAACCTAGTGGCATAAACT